ATCGATGAACTCTGCGAAGCGATACACTCCCCCACGCCACCTTCTGTGTCTGATCTTCATCGCGGCATAATTGACAGACTTCAGAGATGGAAGGCCCGGGGAATCTTTGGTTCCGATGACGCTATAATTAAGGACAGAATTACGGGCAAAGTTGTGTTGACCAAGGCTGTCCGCACAACACCGGTTCACATGTTTCTTTCTGTCAACGATGCTCCAAGAACAATAATACTAGCACCAAGAAAGCAATGCGCATCAGAAGACAGCGAATTAGAGGCCATTGGAAAGAGCACAACAACTATATCGCAAAGCTCGGCTCTGCCACGAGTCTTGCTGGCCGTGAGAATAGTGGACGACGAGAAAAACACCGAGGCGCTCAAGAATTGGCTTTTGTCAGCACCAGCAGAAGTAGTGGTGTTTGAAAAGATCTATCAGAGCTACTCGGAGCTTTTTCTGGTAGAGTTGCCAGTTTCTGTGTGGAATATGTTGCCACGGAGTCCTGCCGTGTCATTCATAGGCTTCACAATGGGGGAGAAGGCGTTGCCGAGACTTGATGGCAGTCAAATGACTTCATCAATACCACTCCAGGAATACCAAGCCAGTGCCGATATCACAAAACACTCTAGGGTTCACTCCATTACACAGGACGACGAGGGACAGCAGCCTGGTATTAGAGGAAACTCGACAGATCAGGGGCATTCAGACAGCTCCTCGCTTGCTGCGATAGCGCATCCTGATCTTCAGATGCACCACCCTGGGTCAGAAGAGGACAAAGCACTCGTTGTGGTGTTGAATGTTGCCGATCGAACACTCTCCAATGCGTTTGCACGGCTTGACAAAACACGAATAGAGATGCAGATTCGTGATGATACTATCTTGACAGACGTGTTACACCAAGTTAGACTCCTGAAAACAGCTGAAGGCATGCGGCTAGTCTCAGAGAGCGACATTCAGAAACATAGGGTTAGTTGGTGGCTTGTCAACTGAGAACCTAGCTAAACCTCTGCAGACCTATCTCCTACGGTACCTCAACGCCAAGCATCTTGTTGAATATGATCAACCTTGGCTCAGAATCTCAGACCGCCTGGGTGGCGGCTGGAGTCGTTTCTTTGGCTGGCGCGATGACGACGAACGAACCGAAGCCGTATCTCAGGCATTGTATCAACCATCAACTCCTAGGAGCGCACTCTTCGACACGTTGAACTCGTTGAGAGGGAGTTCGAGAACAGGTTGGCATACTTTATGAGCGGATCGTGCCATAACTGATGTCATATCTTAGCCCTTTCGATGGACGTTGTGCCAGAAGACGCCGTTGACACTGTATCCCCAGGCCATCCGGTAGATGAGGGGGTGAGACCAACCTCAGAGAGACCAGACCTAAGCAAAGATACTTCGACCATGGTTACTGATGATGTATCATATCGGCAGTATACCTTTCAGTCAGCTGCAGAATATGATCAACTGTCGAGTTTGGCCGACGAATCTGACCCAAAGGCCCCCCCTCAAAGGAGCAAAGAAGATAAGGGCAAGGGAAAAGAGCTGCCTTCGGGTGCTCAGGGGAATGAACATGATCCCTTCAAGTACCATAGGGATGCCTACGAGTACGACGCGGGATTCCACAATTCAACCCCTGATGAACAGCGTGACGGTCTCTCCAGCTGGGAACAATACGATTACGACCGAGAACTTGACAATCTAAACCTCAATGAACGAGGCGGTATGTATCAGCCATAAGTCCCACTTGCACCATCTGCATCTTACACATTGCTAATGCGACAGCAGCTGGGCCAGCTGATTCGTCGACTCTTGATCCGAGTAAGCTCCAACTTAGAGTGCGTGTGAACGTTGTTGTCTAACCCAGCGAGCAGAATTTCAAGTACACCGATCTTCCTATTTTCAACCTGGAGAGGTACGCCTAATCAGGCGAACAGTTTTATAATAGCTCTAACTAAGTTCACTTCAGGTCTTTAAAGTGATGTGGTCCGAGCCCGCTGGTGCACGTGGTGGCAACGCCAGCAGCGAACAAACCGACGCATCCGCTCGCTCCGCAGACAGGTTATACTTTGGGTTTCGCCGCTTCATCGTCATTGCGAATGATCAAGGTCATTGTACCTGCGTGTAAGTTTCAAGTCCCTCGTATGTCCGGATAAGGATATGTCTAACACACCACAGACCCATCCTGAGTTATGGTGGGAAGGGCTGTCTCAAGACTGGGGTGAAGGCAGAAAAACATGGAATCATCTACGATGCGAATCACCATTCAAAAGGACCCCCGATACCTCTCACCGGAGAGCCAAAACTGGGGTTTAGGCCAGTCGGGATGACCATACTTGCAGAGGGCGAAATCCTAAAAAGGGAAAGCAGGGTCAACTATTCGAAGCTCGTTACCGTGGAGCATAACATCAAAGTTTGCTTCATTGGTTCAATCGTATCATCGGACATGGATGCCGTCCTTGATGCCGTCACTACCTGCTGGGCGGCAAAGATGCATCGTAGAAAGCGACGTTGAGCGCTGTATGCATCAAAAGATATCCTTCCAAGATTAATAGTAATATACATTGAAGCTTGTGTGAGATTTCCCGTTCGTGTGCCCCGATGGGATACAGACCAGCCACTTCGAGGAGGCCCCCTCTGACGATGAAGACGATATCAGATAAATAGATGACAATTGGTTAGAAAATACACTCGATTGAGAAAAGCTTGACGCTTGTGACTGCAGCGATGTTATGCATTGAAGCTTATTGGGAAATGTCGCCCACTTGCAAAAACACAACAAGAACAGCAGCATACCTAGTAAAGTCAGCGTCTGTGTTTAAAGGCACGCAAGATGTCTCACCCTGCAGTGGCTGCCAGTCGTTCAAACGGTCTTCCAAGGGTTGCAAGACTCAGAAACATGAGACAAACCACGACAAAACTCGTGATGACCGCCAGCTTCAACCGTATGCTTGTCAAAGCGTGAAGAATCCACAAGGGAGCAATCAGCATGAACAAAGCCGCGACAAGGACCGCTACAGAGCCGAGAGAGTCTATCCCCTGATCGCTAAAAAGACTCATCTCACCATGCTCATCTGTAGAAGAGGTCGGTGGTTTGGGCAAGGCCCGCGGAAGGGTACTTGACCAAAACAAGACGCAGTGTTCAAAGTAACGGCGAAGAGCAGACTTGGGAATGTGGCCTGATATCAAGTCACTCTGGTGCTGGATGAAACGCGTCTCCTCTTCCATGATTGCTCCCAGGTTGGCACTGAACCATGCCTTGATGTTGTTCGCGTTTCTCTTGGGGGCTGTTGGGATGTCCTTTAATGTAATGTAACTCAGCAGAAGTTTATCTGCAGCATCTGTTAGAATGAGGTAATATGGAAACGTTCTTTGTACCCACCATATTCTGCAAGTTTTGAAGCTATTTTTGAGATCAATTCCGCACGTTCCGGTATATCATCTCGAATGGTACCGTTATTAATATCACGTAGGTCTGTCAAGTCAGGAGATGAGTCCGGACCAGGCGTGCCATTTCCAGCGCTGCCCATTCTCTGTACAGGCAAGTTGACAATAGTAGGTGGGTTGCCACCCGTAATTTTCGTCGCCTTGCGGCTATAATGCTCATCTATCTCGTCTAGCCTTTCCTCCAGCTCGCTAAGATGATCCTGTAGAGTCAGCAGAGCGCGAATATGGAGCCTTCCGAATCGGCGGACTGCGAAAAAGTCTGGGTCTTTGGTGATGAATGAGGAAAAGTCCTTATATCCCTGATATTTCCTAAGTTCTGGTCAGGATGCTGCGTACACTCAGGAAGGCGAGGGTGGAAAATAACCATGGACGCTCCGCAATATCCAGCGCAGAGAGCCCAGAAACATTGGAGGCATTCATTATGATGGTGTCAACCGATCCAGTCATGTTATTTCACTGCCCTTAATTAACTGATTGGAAAGGTCGCCCGATAACTCATATTTGATGTGGAATTTAAGGGAATGCCAATGAAATACAAAGACTTTTGTCTTTCACGCAAATGTGAAGCTGCTTACGGGGTGCTCCGCCACTCCTATAGCTCAGCTGCAGCTCAGCCGCATTAAGCAGAGCATGCGATTGGATGTAGAGATGGCTGGCTGGTGCCCAACGAATGGCCACGCGGCTGTAATCTGTCTGGTCTGCAAGCTAGGCATCCATGGACTTGATGGCGGGGTATCAGGCTGTGACTCGGGTCTGATTGCTACATACAACTTCGCCCGGGTCCAGTCGGAAACCAGGTGTGTACAAACCCCAATTGACTTCCCCAAGACCTTATTCGTGAAGAAGTAGCCAGGTGTATGTATTGTCGGGCACTTTAAACCAAGAGAACGGCATGGTTAATTAACAACGGGTGGAACAGACTGACACGATGCAACAGCCAGTGCTCAGCCCCATCAATACTAAGTCAAAAGCGCAAGCTGCGGTAGACCAAACCACGGACAGCTATTACCAAGAGATATATGCCAGTCAGTTCTACTCAGAAGAACAAGAGCACTGGAATAGCTCCTACGGGGAGGAGGGAGAACCGCCTACCCGCATCGGCAAATATTCCAGGAAAAAGAAGACGGCAGCCCCTGTAGTGCAACAACCACCTACTCGGAACAACACTGGGCAGAACAACACGGGGCAGAGCACCATTGCAGAGGGCAAGACTGGGCAGAATAACACTACAAATAGCGGGCAGGGTAAATGATGTTTCTTGAATGTTGAATGTCGGATATGGTATGAAATGTCGCCTGTCTGTCTACGCTGTGAGGCTATCGACAGCACCTTGTGTGTTTCAATGAGATGGGTGCGGCGGACTATGAGGCTGAATGAAACGTAGATCTCTGGATCGAAAATTTGTTGTAGGAGGGGTCCTTTGCTTCATTACTTTTTCCAATACAATATATCCCACCCATAACCCAACTGTAATTGACTGAAGGTGAGAAGCGCGGCTCGACGTGGATAATGGTATGGCTTATAATGCGGAATAGTTGTCGACAGACGCTAATCAGTGATAGGCCGCGATCGTCTAGTGGTTAGGACATTAGTTTGTGGTTAATGAACTGATCGGAAACACTGAAAACGGCGGTTCGATTCCGCCTCGTGGCAATTTTTTGCTTCTCAATTGATGCCTCCCCTCCCTCCATTGATGGCTCTTGGATGGAGTTGTTCATTTTTGCCAGACCTGACCATATGGCACCTCATACTCTCCCCGAGGCGCCCGTCAATACAATAAATACACTTGAAGCGCGTGGACAATGGATGCTTTCCGTGCACGATATACCGCTAATATATGTAGCATCCGGAGCAGCTCCGGGCCCCAGGCGGGAAGCAATGCGAAGCCCCTCGTTGGCTGGATGGCTGGCATTCCTCGTCCTCGGCTTCAGCCGACCTTCTGTCCTTCTGCAAGGAGAAGCCGAGAAGGAGGGTCGTGTGCGCTGCTGGGATCAAGAAGCTAGAACCCCTTGGCGTTCCCCACGCGCATTGAACTAGAATCCTTGGCCCTGGAAGTGCGGGAGGAGATAAGGTCATGAGCAGGTTATGCTTAGGTTATGCTTAACCGAGGACGGAACAAGGTGTGGCTTCCGTTGCTCTCCTTCTGCCTGTCTAGCAGCAGCAACACCACAACCAAATAATCATCGCCACCTCCTCCACTGTTTAATGAAGCTGCCAATAATCACCTGCAGACAAAGATTCCATGCATGTACGAGAGCACCAACAGGCCGGCTCAGGCTCAATAGTGGGATCTCCAAGCCTGGTTGGCCCCCGCTCCAGCCTTGCTCGAATAGGCAGTTCTCGACGCAGCATCACTTCCATGTTATCAGGCCCAACAGCTCCCCCCTGGTTTGTGCCTGTAATTATTGAGGCTGGGCCGCTTCTCAATCCGGAAGCTGCATCAACTTGGCGCGCCAAGAGCCCATTCGCCAATGGACGGAAAAGTACCCAGGGATCTTTTGTCTAGTCGCGACAACCAATATGTTCGTGATGGTGATGGGACAAACTTCCCTCGGCTCGTCAATTGCGCTGCAGCTTTAAAAGGGTCCTGCTCTCCCTCTCCCTGGAGGCATTCCTCTCCACCCCTTGTCGGTGCCATCTTATCTTCCCTCCCATCCGAGACATTCCTCTATCTCTCCCCCCCAAGATGAAGACCACCACGCTCGCCGCCGCCGCGCTGCCGGCCATGGCCACCGCCAAGGAGTGTCTCCCCTGGGTCACCTCGGAGGCGCTGCAGGAGGCCGTCACCCTCGACGACCTGCTCGCCGGCTCCCAGCAGCTGCAGGACTTTGCCGACGCCAACGGCGGCACCCGCTCCTTCGGCAGCGCCGGCCACAACGCCACCGTCGACTGGCTGTACGATACCCTCGTCGCCACCGGTGCCTACAACGTCGAGAAGCAGCCCTTTACTGAGCTCTTCCACTTCGCGACCGGCTCCGTCACCGTCGATGGCGAGCCCCTCACCATCCAGCCCATGACCTACACCCCCGGCGCCGCCATCGCTGGACCCCTCGTCAACGTCCCGACCAACTTTGGCTGTGCCGTCGCTGACTACCCCGCCAAGGTCGCCGGCAAGGTCGCCTTCGTCGGCCGTGGTGCCTGCCCCTTCAGCCAGAAGGCCCTCAATGCCGCTGCCGCCGGCGCCGTTGCCGTCATCGTCTACAACAACGAGCCCGGCATGCTGTCTGGCACCCTGGGAACTCCCAACCCCGACTATGCCGCTGCTGTCGGCATCTCCCAGGAGGACTCGGTCGCCATCCTCGCGGCCCTTGCCGCCGGCGAGGTCACCGTCGACTTCAACCTTGACGCCGTTGCCGAGAACCGCGTCAACTACAACGTCATTGCCGAGACGCGTTGGGGCGACCACGACAACGTCCTCGTCCTCGGTGGCCACTCCGACTCCGTCCAGGCCGGCCCCGGTATCAAGTAAGTGCAAACACATTTCTCCTTTCACTCCAGCAGACTAATGGCTTTGTAGCGATGACGGTTCCGGTACCATTGGTGTCCTGAACGTTGCCCTGGCTCTTGCCAAGTTCAAGGTCAAGAACGCCGTGCGCTTCGCCTTCTGGGGTGCCGAGGAGTTTGGCAAGCTCGGCTCCTACTACTACGTCATGGCCCTGAACGGTACCTACGGCGGTGGTGTCGATGAGGTCTCCAAGATGCGCGCCTACCTCAACTTCGACATGGTACGTCTCCTCTCTAACGAATGGCACTGCAAGGCGGTGTATGCTGACAATGTCTGCAGATTGCTAGCCCCAACTACATCTACGGCATCTACGACGGCGACGGCAGCGCTTTCAACGTCGAGGGTCCCGCCGGCTCCGACGTTATCGAGAAGGACTTTGAGACCTTCTACGAGAGCTACGGCCTGGGCCACGTCCCCTCCGAGTTCACCGGCCGCTCCGACTACGCCGCCTTCATCGAGAACGGCATCCCCTCGGGCGGTATCTTCACGGGTGCCGAGGTCCTCAAGACCGAGGAAGAGGCCGCCTTGTTCGGTGGTGAGGCCGGTGTCGCCTACGACATCAACTACCACCAGCCCGGTGACACCGTCGACAACCTCAACCACGAGGCCTACCTCGTCAACACCAAGAGCATCGCCTACACCGTCGCCAAGTACTCCATGAGCTGGGACTCGCTCCCCGCCGTCGACCTCGAGCGACGCCGCTGGGACGGTGAGCAGATGAAGTGGTACAAGCGCGCCGCCGACCTCGGCAAGCGCAGCAAGGGCCACGGCCACGGCCATGCTCACGCCGGCCCCTGCGGTGGCGGTGTTCCTCTGTAAATCATAGAACTGGGATGGATGAGTGATGAGCTATGTTGGGATCTTGTACAGGAGATAATGAAGTGTATGATTGCACATTAATACCAGATGAATACATAATGCATGACATGGTAGCTGCATGCATCAAGCATCTGCATTTGTATCCACCAGAACCGTATAATGATGGTAAGGGTCGGCCTGGAATGGGCCAAGGTCCAGTTTCGGTGCGACCGACCAGCATCCAAAGGTTGCTTTACACGCGCCATGGTGTAGCTGAAGTCGGTCGCGTCGCAGCATCCATCGACTGCAGGGAAATTGTGCAAGATTGTTTGACTTGGCCCAGAGACGATTCGCTCGTCTGGTAATTATTGTTGACTATCTAACGAGCTGAGCGAATACCCTCGCTCCATGCGACTGCCATGTCCCAATCCATGGAACAGTCTGGGCGCTCTCGCAGACTCTACTGCCTACGATACTACATACACGCTGAGCCGTGGATGGAAGCCATCTCAAGCGGCCCGATTCCTGGCAGTGATGCCCGCAATGTGTAACCATGGCCTACCTATATTTTACATGCAAATGTGAGAAAAGACAAGAAACAAAGATACCAAGAGCAGAAAACAGCCTTGCAAAGGTCAGTGTTTTCACCCGAAACGCCAGCTCCCAAATAAGACTCCCAAACGGAATGCGCCGCGACTAATGCGCAGGCTCAATGAAGCGCGCCAACTTGCGGCACTCGCTGCCAGCGTCCTGGAACTGTCGCTTCCTAGACGGCCTAGAGACGTCGAACAACGGCAGGGCAACCCTCGTAGGCGCGACGCGGGGGAGGTCAAGCTCCATAATGCTGTCCTCGTCGGCGCCAACCTTCTCGGGAATCCAGACCCTCACATCTTCTTCGCGGAGGCGAATGACCTTGGCGCCTCGAATCTTGCGCGCGAAGAAGGCCTCGACGCTTTCGCCGACCGCGCTCTGAAAGCACAGACCCTCTCCGTTTTCGCCCACGCGACAGTCGGCATCGGCGACGGGTTCATATCCGACCGTGGCGAACTGGAAGTCGGCAGCGCGGTAGCCGGCAACCATGTCAACGGGGGCGCCGCGCTGTACGGCGTGCTGTGCCGCAAAGAGCATGCGCCAGTACAGCGACAGAGCGTAGGTGCTGTTGGGTGGCAGGTAGGCCCGTGGGATTCCGCACTTTCCAGCAAGCTCCGCCCGCGACTCGAGGATAATGATTGTCGGAGAGTTTTGAGGGGTCTGGTGGACGAAGACGTAGCGAGGACCGAGGGAGGAGATGGAGGTGGCAGCCAGAGGACGAGGGGGTGTGCGAAGAACGCCAGCATAGACGAAGAGCTGATCGACAGCAGCCAATGGAGCGAGTACCGGCGGCGAGACTGTCCGCAGATAGCGCTCCGTCATGGCCGGGGAGATGGAGGGAGGGGGAGGTGCCGGTCGGAAGAGCATGGTGATGAAAAAGGGCGAGACGAATCAGCCAAGGATGGAATCGGCCAAGTGCATGCAGTTTGCGCGGGATGCCAGGTCGAAGTGGAATTGAACAAGTATTCGAGAGAGAGAGAGAAAAGTAAGCGTCAAAGACTTGTCGCAGAAGCCAATTGAACCGAAGAAAAGACAAAGTGAAGCCCAGGAGAGAGTGTGTGGTGGGAGAGGGAGCGAGTGGTCTGACAATGGGAAGCTGGGAAATGGGCTTTTTGGCTGCTGGACGGAAGCACTAAGAGGTAGCAGCAAGGGAAGGAGCCCACTGGCAAGGTTTAAGTGGTTGCTGGGGCAAACACGAGAGCACGTGATGCGACGCGCCCTTGCTTCCAATATTGCTATTTTGAGTAAAGTGGCTCGGCGCTTTGGTCTCGCGATTTCTGCCTTTCCCCACATCGTGGCTGCGAAGAAATGACCGACTCGCCAAAGCAAACGCATCGCGGTTTTACGTGTCGTGGAGGCGCGCTGATGAAGGTTGTGTAATTGCGGCCTGTTCATCTGCGAGTCGTGCAACCAACCTGGTCCGATTCATCGAGACATCGGCAATGTGAAACCTTGTCACGCGGGGTTACGGCAGCACGGCGAGACTATCTGTCATGTCGCAGCGCAGCCAAATTCCTCCCCTCTCCCGGCTAGCCGGTCGGTCTACTTCGCGTTGCTATCGATTGAAAGTTAACTTTTAGATGCTATTTACTTTATTACTAGAATCGTAGAGCCACTAGATACGGCTGGCCACATGATTTCCAGACAGCAGCCTGGGCCCTAGCAGCCAATGAAATTTATAGAGACACGCATAAGGAAGAAGAGCGCCTTTGTCGAGATTTTAATATCTGGTCATTTGGGCAGGACGAGAAAGACATGT